GGTTGGATTAATGGCGTTTTGCGCTCCCCTATTGGTAGAGCGTGTGACATCAACCAATAGGAAAGATTAATCCAACCCAGGTTGGTGCAAACCCGATTTGGCCGAAAACGCTATAAAACTCGTTCAGCTTGCGCATGTCCTTGCCTACGTCATATTCGGGTACGCGTTGATTGGTCGGTTCTGATTCGGGTGCAATCGGTGGTTATCGGTCGTAATTTATCATGGCGTCCATGGCGTAGTGCACGTTGTCATCGGTAGAAGTTAATGTTAAAAATATTTTCACGATGACCTGCATAGTGAAAGAATGCGGCAATTATATGAAAAAAACAAAAAAAACTGAGGGAAGTAAAATTAAATATTTTACCTTTCCAAAACAATCTGAAATTGCTGAACAGTGGCGTAAGCCACTCGTTGTGACGTAAGCAAGGACAAAAATCTGATTGGTCATGCGCATGAGCATACCCTTGTTTTTTATCATGAGCATACCCTTGTATTTTTATCATGGATGCAAGAGCTCACTGAGCTGACTGAGCGCCACTGAGCGCTCAGTGAGCGGTCGTGCTTCTAGATGTATTGCAAGGACAAAAATCTGATTGGTCATGCGCATGAGCATACCCTTGTCTTTTTATCATGGATGCAAGAGCTCACTGAGCTGACTGAGCGCTCAGTGAGCGGTCGTGCTTCTAGATGTACCCATTAATTTCATTATATTCAGCACAGAACTGAATAATTATCAGGTACATTAAACTTCGTTTGTTGATATTTTCTGGAAATTAAATTTTAAAATCAGTAAAATTTTTTTATTCTCATGGATGAGTCGGAAGTTGCGAGAAATGCTACAGTAGTATGAAATAGGTTAAACAGGATTTAACCTAACTTAATCTAATTGTGAGTCCAAATTAGATTAAATTCGTGCAATTTTGCTTATAATTAGTGTACGTTTTTTAATAGAAAAAGCTGCTTTGCAATTATTGTAAATTTTTTAATGTAATTAAGTCTTGCCCTTAATTTCTCACGGATCTAAATGTACAAATCGATCATATTAAAGAATCTTATAATAATTGCAAAACTGCTTTTTTTGCAGAATGCAGCCATAATATTAATATTTGCCTTTTTGTTCCTGCTTTGTTCGCAAAATGTTTACACTGATTTAACATTAAAAAAAAAAGGTTATCGCGGTTGACCATATCATTGTGATATCTATTTTCTTATCTATCTTCTTATCATGTAAATCTTACCTTAGAGTATATGCCTATATTATTTTATTACAGATATTTTTTTGTATATGAGAGAATAGACATAGCATAAAGCTTGTCAAAATGAAATACAGACATTTGCTTGAGCAACATATAACATATTACAATGGACAATTATATTGTTATCAATGCAAGATCACACTACAAAACCTCAAGGAAGGAAAGCTTCATTACGAAGACGCTCACTTATCTGTTAACAGTCAAATATCTGATTTCCTAAATAAAATGAAATTGTCAAAAAAAAATTGTATGGAGTTAGTACAACAGGGTATTATAATAAGAGGACTACAGCAAGATTACTTCTGTATATATTGCCAAAGTTCAATATCTTCATTACATAATTTTTCTCAACATTTAAAAGAAGAAAATCACTGCAAATATGTAAATTCGAAATCTACATTAAAACATTCTTCAAATGAGCAGCAAAAGTCAAATGACAATACAAATAACGAACAAAGTAATGCTTGTGTTAATGTTGATAATTCAGTGGAACATAAGAACGAATCAAATGCAATAATACAATCAATCAGTGAGAATATGTTAATGAAAGATACTTCAAACAGTTCTATGCAGGCAGTAAATGAAACTATTACAAATGTGCCTTATGCATTAATGGAGGAAGAAAAAACGTATAAACATTTTTTAATGCAACGTACAATATATACAGTACATACATACAATGGACGATGGTACTGTGATCTGTGCGAGTTTACATTGCGAAGCTTGATAGCTATGACTTGTCACTTACAAGCAGTTCATCCAGATAGTAGTACAAAAATATCAGATTTTTTTGATAAATCTATCAAATTATCAAACACAAATTGTAGAGAATTATTAGATCACGAAATAGCAATGCAGGATGTGATGCATGATTATTTTTGCATACCTTGCAAATGTTCTTTCCCTTCTGTAAGTCATTTTTATGAGCATTCAGTCGGAAAGAAACATAAGCTCATGACCCAGTGTAACAAAAAACACGAAGATGCTAATGTTGTGCTGGAAAAACCTACAGCTAAATTAAATTTAAATAATAATACAATTAACAATCAAATTATATCTGTTGTACAAAATAAAAGTGATTTAATTAGAAATCTTCCAAGTAGTTTCAAAGCAGAAGAGAAAAGTACAATTTTATTGAAGTCTTATAATAAAGATAGTACTAGTGAGAGTCTGCAAAGTGAAAGCTTATGTTTAAAAACATATATTTATACGAATTTTTGTTATTTGTGCGATATGTTTATTAATGAAACTGTTATAAAAGGTCATATTATATGTAAAAGCCACAAGTCTGCTGTATCTTTATTTAGAGAAATCCAAATCTCTAATCAGCAAACATTGTGCATTATAAAGTTAGAAAGGGAAAGGAATACTCTTAGGTCACTACAGTTAAATAATAAAAAATTCGATGGAACTATATGGCCAGAATATGCAGAAATTGTAGCAAAGTATACTTGCGATCAATGCAATGAAATGGTCGAGAAAGATGATATAATAAATCATGAAATAACAATACACAAAAGTGACATGATGTTTTCTATGAAGTTTATCTATAACTGGTCACATGAGAGTAGAAATCTTAACGCCATTATTTATTATCCACTATTTAAATGCTCGTTCTGTAATGAGATAATACATGGCATAGCGTCATTACAAGCTCATTTTTTTAAATATAAACACAAAGAAAATATTAAATCATTAATTGACATTAAGAGACGGGAGTATGATAGTTGTAAAAATATAGAAATTTATTTGGAGCCAATTGAATTTCTATGTCTAATCTCTTTTGAGAATAATGGCGGAACTATTCAAGTTCAGGAGCAGCCTGTGATATATATTAAAAACCATTATACAACTCTTCGTAAAAATGCAAAAGAAATGCAGAAAACATTTATTTACGTTTGCTTTAACTGTAATTATACAGCGGATAAAATCAACAACGCAATTAACCATTTATTTAAGAACTTACAACATTTGAAACATTTTGAAAATATTCTTCTCACATATATGTCTATACAAAATGTGTCTACATCAAAAGAGCTTATCGTAAATGAAAATGAACATAAAGTAAAATCTCCAATTTCTAAAGATGTATCAATTGATAATAAATCATTGACGGAACGTAACGTTGACAAAATACAAGTAAATACAGAGCAATACGGTAATCGTAATTTAATAGCTGAAATGAATTCTAATAACACAGATAATAGAATGAGTCAAAATGAAGAAAATAATTCTGGCTTTTTTATATCTGTCGATGTATTTATGGAAATTAATACATTAATAAAAAAAGATTATAAATCAAATCAATTATCCACAAAGTTAAATAAGAGTACTGTAGATCGTTATAATAGAGTGTATCGGAAAGATTTTCTCGACTTCGAAGAAATCATGTTTGTCTGCAACTATAGAAAATTGGAGAGAATTAAATCGAATTTGCAGTTTTTCTTTCCATCGTCTGACAAAATATTTTGCCTTATATGTGAAAATCTGCAATTGTGCAATGTACAGGCAATATACGAACATATAAATTCTGAAAATCACATTATAAAATTTAACATGTTACATGAGAATGCAGAACATTTGGAACTGTTAAAGCAGCTAGTGAAAATACAACCTGCATATACCAAATGTTATGCTTGTGATATATATACATTTCAGAATAGAAAACCTAACATAGATTTTAAGAATCATATACGTATGTCTTCGCATAAGATCAATTGTAACCGATTACGTAATCAGATTGAGTTCATATTGAAAGAATTCCAAAATTTATGGTATAGTATCCAATACTTTGCTTGCGTTAATTGCAAAAAAAACTTCAAGATAAAGATAAACTTCATGGAACATCTTCAAAACAAGCACGGGAAAGTCATGAGAGACAAGACTAATTCGATGTTTGATTTTTGCTTAACTTGTGCGACTTTATGGTACAAAAGAAGTGATATCGAAGACATCCATATAAATTATAAACAACACTGCCAGTTACAAATGCATCGGTATCTAAAGAAAAGTAATGATTTCGCAATTACGCCGCTGCCGCAGACTCTGCAAAAATTATTGAGAAATGTTAACAAAATTTCTGATGATCTATTTCAATTGTCGGAGAAGGTATTAAATGATCCAAAAGCGACTCAACTTACGGATGCTTTAAAGCACATCTTTGGAACATGTCAGCCCCCTGCAGAAGTGTTCATGTTTGGTTCAAGAGTTACTGGTTTAGCGTTAACAAACAGCGACATCGACATATATCTTAATTTCGGTAAATATATTTGTTCCTGATATTTACGAAATTGATTAAATATTTTAAAAAATTTCAAATGATCATAGATGTAATAAATTTTTTTTATTATCAGTATTTATTATATTTAAAATGATTTTTAAAATAAATTTTAACACTTTCAAAGCAATTAATTTTGTGAATTGCTGTATATAAGATAAAAGCTTATAAGAAATTTATAAAAAATAAAATTGTAAAAAGAATTATGATATAAAACTTAAAACAAAAATTTTTCTATTAGTTGATGAATGTATCGAGCCTCAATCGATTAAAAGAAGGAGTAAACAAATTCAAGATTGTTTACGTACCGATCATAAGAATTGGGATATAGAATTAACTTTGGACAGGAGCAGAACTCCTATAATAAAAGTAAAGCACAGATTAACAGGATTGCAATGCGATATCTCGTTTACAAAAGGTCTATCAGTAGAAAATTCCAAGCTTATTAGGTACGAAACATTATTGTATTTCTAAAAAGTATCACGAAATATGTTTTATAATAACTAATAAATAAAATAACTAAAAAATCTAATAATAACTAATAATTTTATAACTCTAGATCTTTCAATACCGCATATCCGCCGTGTCAAAAATTGACATTGTTTTTGAAAAAGTGGCTCTCGCTGGCGAGTTTGAGTGGTCCTGATGGAATGACAAATTATGCTCTTACCTGGCTAGTCATTTTTTACTTACAAGTCAAATTAAAAATTCCGAGTATTGCTGACTTAATCAAAAGCCATAATCAATCGAAAATCATCTCTGGTAAGTATTTTAGAGATTTCTAATTTAATATATTGTATTGTAACATGTTATAGTTTAAAGTTGGAATCTGTAATTGGAAAAAATCTTATCTTGTGTGTGTGTGTGTGTGTGTGTGTGTGTGTGTG